CTGAGCCAGCCAGCCCAGCCAACAGTCCCACCTAACTATCCCAAGCCTACACAGTTACAGTCAGTGAGGAAGTCAAGACGCCTATTCCAGAGGAGCCTTACTCCACACCTCAGGGAGAGGTTAAACAGCCAGACATTAAGAATAGGAGTAGACAGGCCTTGCTAGGGCCTAGCCCTCTCAGGCTCTCCATGGCTCACACCCTTCTCACCCAGAGGCATCTCTCCACGTGGCCACCCAGGGTTATGCAGTTATTGTCTCCCTGGGGTGGGGGCTCTTCAGCCTGAAGGCTCTGTGTGATTGTGCGTCTTTGCTTAGACTGGCTGTGCCCTTGTCCTGTTTGCCTGCAGCAGTCACACAGCACCCTTCCAGAAAGGAAGCTGGCCCACCCCTGCAGCGTCTGTATTTATTCCCATCCTTTCAGAGGCAGGCTTTGTGTGGTGGGTGACATTTTCAGCTTGACAGAATTGACACTCAACCTAGGAGACAAATGCAGCCCGTGAGTCAGTCCCCAGACTGGGTTAACTGAGATGTGAAGGCCCAGCTTCAATGTGAGCAGCACCGTGACAGAATTGACACTCAACCTAGGAGACAAATGCAGCCCGTGAGTCAGTTCCCAGGCTGGGTTAACTGAGATGTGAAGGCCCAGCTTCAATGTGAGCAGCACCATCCCATGGACTGTATAAAAAAGGAGAAACTGGGGAAGCCAGCTGAACCCCAAAATTCATCTCTCTCTGCTTCCTGATTGTAGCCCAGGCACCTGACACTCTGCTAACCAGGCCTTCTCTGCCATGATACCCTCAAACTGTGAGCCAAAAGAAGCCCTTCCTTTGTTTTAGGTACCTTTGCCAGGTGTTTTGTCATGGCATCAGGAAAAAGGAATCAATCCAGTTTGTCACTGTTTTGGTTTGGTGGCAGAAAGGCACAGGCCAGGGATATTGTGACTTGTTTGTCAGCCAGCACCGTGACTCAATGGTTCTGGTCCTAATGTTTGACTGTCAACTCATGAATATTCCCTGCCTACCAACTATGTGCCAGGCTCCTGTGTCACTTACAGACCTCTGAGAGATGAAGACTTCCACCCTTTCAGACATGGCCTCCTTAACAAAGACAGACTGATTACATGTATGCTAGCTTGATTCCTTCTGAAGGAATCAAGGCCCCAAATTCGAGGCTAAGCTTGACTGCTTCTAGGCAGATTTGATGGTGCATGAGGAGTGGTAGGGAAAGGCGACAACCAGACAGAAGCTATGAGCTAAGTGTGCTGAAGCCCAACTGCTCGGAGCGTGAGTCCCATGTCTTGGGCCACGTTTGCCTCAGGTACAAGGAGGATACTCCCTCCTTGCATTCCCACAGCAGAAATTACTCTGGATGCGGCTTTGAGTTGTTGGTTCCTAAATCCCATCAAGTCTGCAGTGAAGGAACCTGAGGCCTGGCACCCCCTGTGCTGATTAACCTGGGGCACTGGGGGCTTGGGAATTGGGGGATGGGATATACAGGGAGAGGTTGCCTTCTGCTGGAAGTCCAGGAAGATTGCCTCCTCTCCCTTCCCCGGTTGCCATGGCTAAGCTCATACTGCGGGAGGGATGTGTGTCCGCGCACTTGGACAGACTTTGTCATTCCTCCTTGACCTGTGCTGTCATCTTAAAGAGTCATTTATGAGCCCTTGTCCCAGGCACAGCATGTTCTCCAGGGACACTGGTTTCCCCTAAAAGTCACGCACTACTTTCCTCAAAAGTTTCTGACTCCTCTTTGCCCCACCTTCCTTTAGAAAGGTGGGAATTCCTTGACTCCCTTTTTGCACACTAATGACTTTTATATCTTTGCTTCAATTTAATATCAACCCGTTTGTTCCACCGAACTTCGAGAGTAAAGGAGAAATCTCCCCTTACCCATTAGAAGGGAGTGAATGGGTTTCTGGTAGATTATGTATGACGCTGACTTCAGGCTGTACACTACCAGGCCACACCACAGCCTAAGAAAAATGTCTTTTCTCCATTGGGGGAAAAACAGGGGGGCCCGTGGTTACATGGCTCCATAAGGTGATTCAGGGTAGGTCTGGTGAGCCGGCAGCAGCAGGGCACCGAAACAGGGCTTTGTGTCCTTTTAAATGAGTGGGAGGGCAGGTGCCAGGGCCCAGTCACCTCTGCCAGCTGTGAATGTAAGTGGAAGTGACTTTTTGTCCGCTTCTCAAGCCTGGCCAAGGAGACAGAATTTGATTTGTCGTGTCCCCTTTCAAAGAGAAAAGAGCCTGGCAGGAAATGGTGTCTGGGCAGCCAGTGTGATAGACGATGACCCAGTGACCATGGACTTCATCCTGTATCGAGCAGCTGTCAGGTTGGTTTAGCTGGGACTTTTTCAGTCCCTTGCTTGTTTCTGCATACAGTGGGTTCTAGAGAAAGTTTTGTTTGAACTGGTGAGATGGGTCAGTAGATAGGAGAGCTTGTTGTTGCTTAAGCCTGGGGACACAAAATCAATTTCTGGGTCTCACAATGGAAGGAGAGAACCTAGTCCTAAAAGTCACTCCTCTGTTCTCCACACCTGTGCTGTGTGCACCAGTGTGTATGTGTGTGTGCACTCATGCGGGCATACACAATTTAATTTTGAAAGGAAAGAATGTTTCTTTCTATTTGCTACAGAGACCAGATGTCTCTAGATTGAATCAGGCCCTGATGGAAGGCTTGCCCTGGGGGTGCTCCAGCTAAGTAAGGACATGATGGAGGGCTTTCCCGGGGGAGGGGGTGCTCCAGGTCCACTTCCATCAGAAAGAGCTTTCTCTGTTCCCTGAAAATGGTGTCTTCTGGGGCTGGCACATGTGGGAGTTGAACACATCAGTTATTTTCCCAAATACATGCTCCGCTTAGGTGGCTTGCTTTGTCTGTTCCAGGTGTTGTCTGTGGCACTCACTGACATGGTGTAATGGGGAGGGCCATGCATTAAAGTGATGGCTTTTCAGGCTGTGCTCAAATGGTTGTTAGTGCATGGCAAGACAAACCTCTGATTATCAGGGTGTGGGGGTTTGATGCTTCAGTCATTTAAAATGGTTCAAAAAAACCCCATAAGAATCATTGTCACCTGAAGGAAGAGTGAGGAATGGGCTGGACTTTGAAACCGAACTGGTCCTGGTTGTCAGGGAGCTGCCCCTCCTTTTCTGTCTTCCATACCAAAAGAGAACAAGGACTCAATGACCTGTGGCTGGAAGCTGAGGGCTCCTCATTCCAAGACCATACTTGCAGCTTGCCACTGCCTAGCCCATAGCATCACTGGGACACTGCCTAGTCTATAGCATCGCTGGACCACTGCCTAGTCTATAGCATCGCTGGACCACTGCCTAGCCCATAGCATCACTGGGGTACTGCCTAGTCTATAGTGTCAGTGTGCTCTCCAGCATCACATTAGTCCCCCCCTTTCATAATAGTGACAATCCTGGTTAGAAATTAGATAAATTTTTATCAAAATGAGGTGTTCAGAACATAGGGACATGTCCACTGCCTATCATGTGATCTGTCTTTCTAGGGTGGTTGAGGGACATTCTTCTGGGTCCTCTGCCTCAATTAGAAGGTTGAATCGGAAAGTGGCTGAGTGGCAGAGCACCAGAGCACTCCTGAGTTACATTACCTGGGCCACGTGGGGCTTACATGAATCTTTACCCTGGATGGTTTCTATTGTTTCCTGGCAGGGCTGGTGACAATATCATGGCACCATCCATTTCTAGTCTACTGCACCTCTTATCCACCCGCCCTACCCCCACTTTGGAAGTGTCTCTTGTGCCTGTAGGCCTGACCTCACTCTCTCTCTCTCTCTGTTTTGTGCAGTGCCTTCTCCCAGTGCCTTGCTAGCAGACAACCCCACGCCTTTTGGAAACGCAAAAGAAGTGATTGCAATCAAAGACTATTGCCCAAACAACTTCACCACCCTCAAGTTCTCCAAAGGCGACCACCTCTACGTCTTGGACACGTCTGGTGGGGAGTGGTGGTATGCCCACAACACCACCGAGATGGGCTACATCCCTTCCTCCTATGTGCAGCCACTGAACTACCGGAACTCCACCCTGAGTGACAGTGGCATGATTGACAATCTCCCAGATAGCCCCGATGAAGTCGCCAAGGAGCTAGATCTGCTAGGGGGCTGGACAGATGACCAGAAAGAATCTGGCAGACCCTATAGTAACAACCCTTTCTGGAACGGAGTCCGAACGAACCCTTTTCTAAATGGGAATGCCCAGCCCAGTGTGGATGAGCTAAACCCCAAGAGTACTGTGGATTTGCTCCTCTTTGATACGGGCACATCTTCCTTCACTGAATCCAGCTCAGCAACCACCAACAGCACCGGCAACATCTTTGATGAACTCCCAGCCACCAATGGACTCCACGTGGAGCAGCCGGTCAGGCGGGACAATCCCTTCTTCAGAAGTAAGCGTTCCTACAGCCTCTCGGAACTCTCCGTCCTACAAGCCAAATCGGATGCTCCTGAGACATCCAGTTTCTTCACAGGCTTGAAGTCACCTGCCCCAGAACAGTTTCAAAGCCGAGAAGATTTCCGAACCGCCTGGCTGAATCACCGGAAGCTGGCCCGATCCTGCCATGACTTGGACCTGCTCGGTCAAAGCCCAGGTTGGGGACAGACCCAAGCAGTGGAAACAAATATCGTGTGCAAGCTGGATAGTTCTGGGGGCTCCGTGCAGCTTCCTGACACCAACATCAGCATCCATGTGCCCGAGGGCCATGTAGCCCCTGGGGAGACCCAGCAGATCTCCATGAAAGCCCTGCTGGACCCTCCGTTGGAGCTCAACAGCGACAGATCCAGCAGCGTCAGCCCCGTGGTGGAGGTGAAGCTGAGTAACCTGGAGGTGAGCACTTTGATCATCTTAGAGATGAAAGTCTCCGCAGAGGTGAAGGGCGACATCTTCAGCAAAAGTTCAGTGGTCCTACAGTGCCTGAGAAGTGACTCCAAGGAGGGGCCCTATGTGCCCATCCCCCTCACCTACAGCTATGGGGACACGGTACAGGTACAACTGGACAACCTGGAGCCTTGCATGTACCTCGCTATTGTCGCCCAGGGCGCCAACATCCTCTACCCCTCCACCGTATGGGATTTCATCAATAAGAGAGTCACTGTGGGTCTTTATGGTCCCAAACACATCCATCCGTCCTTCAAGACCGTGGTGACCATTTTTGGACATGATTGTGCCCCCAAGACCCTCCTGGTCACTGAGGTTACTCGGCAGGCTCCTGGTCCTGCCCCGGTAGCCCTACAGCTGTGGGGCAAGCACCAGTTCATCTTGTCCAGACCCCAGGATCTCAAAGTGTGTATGTTCTCCAATATGACCAACTATGAGGTCAAGGCCATCGAGCAAGCCAAAGTGGTGAGAGGGTTCCAGATGAAACTGGGTAAGGTTAGCCGTCTGATCTACTCCATCATCTCCCAGAACCCCAACGAGCTGTCTGACTTCACCCTGAGGGTGCAGGTCAGGGACGATCAGGACACCATCCTCACCCAGTTTTGTGTCCAGACTCCGCAGCCACCCCCCAAAAGTGCCATTAAACCATCCGGGCAGAGGAGGTTCCTGAAGAAGAACGAGGTTGGGAAGGTCATCTTGTCCCCGTTCGTTGTCACCACCAAGTACCCAACGTTTCAGGACCGCCCCGTGTCTAGCCTCAAGTTCGGCAAGCTACTAAAGACGGTGGTGAGGCAGAACAAGAGCCACTACCTGCTAGAGTACAAGAAGGGTGACGCAGTGGCCCTGCTCAGCGAGGAACGCATCCGCCTCAAGGGACAACTGTGGACCAAGGAGTGGTACATCGGCTACTATCAGGGCAAGGTGGGCCTGGTGCACACCAAGAACGTGTTGGTAGTGGGCAAAGCCCGGCCCAGCCTGTTCTCGGGGCCTGAGCTGAGCACCTCCGTGCTGCTGGAGCAGATCCTCCGGCCCTGCAAGTTCCTCACTTACATCTATGCGTCCGTGCGGACCTTGCTCATGGAGAACATCAGCAGCTGGCGAGCCTTCGCGGACGCCCTGGGTTACGGGAACCTGCCTCTCACCTTCTTCTGCCGGGCGGAGCTGGACAGCGAGGCGGAGCGGGTGGCGTCTGTTCTGGAAAAGCTGAAGGAAGACTGTAACAACCCTGACAACAAGGACCGGAAGTCCTTCCAGAAGGAGCTGGTGATGGTGAGTGTCCCGCAGGTGTCCAGACCTTGGGGTGTCCAGACCTTGGGGTGAGCTTCCAGAGGCAGACAAGCATGGGCCATATTGGGCCACTCACAGGGTTGGAAGTGTAGCTACAGGATCTTTAAAGACCCCCCAGGAAGGTGTCTTCTCCCCTCTTTATCAGCTTCTCTGTGGTCTTGGGTGGACTCGTGTTCGCTGGTTAGTGTTTTCCACTTCTCACAAAACTATAGAGTCCCCCAGGAAGAGGGAGCCTCCATTGAGAAATTGCCTCCATCAGATTGGCTTACCGGCAAGTCTGTGGGGATATTTCCTTGATTGATGATTAATGTGGGAGGGCCCAGCCCGCTGCGGGGAGTGCTACTCCTGACCGTTTGTCCTGAACAAGCCGTGGGAAGCAAGCCAATAAGCAGCACCCATGGTTCCCACCTCTGCTCCTGCCCTGACTTCCTTCAGTGAGCGACTGTGATCAGGATGTGTGAGCCAAATAAACCCCTTCTCCCCCCAGGTTGCTTTTGTCATGATGTTTATCACAGCAAAGAAAACTAAGTAGGACACCATAAAGAAGGGCTGTGATCCAGGAACCTCAGTTTGGATCTTTGGAGGGTATCTGTGTGTCATTAGGTCTGCAGCAGGCTCTGTGACTTACTAGCAAAAGCCTTGGCCCCAAAGCCTGGCCTTGCCTTGATGTGTATTCTTGCTTTGCTTTGTATTACCTGGTGCCTCCAACATCTGTCTCTACTGTAGTACCTTCTCCCTGCCTGGGATTCATTTGAGCTCATGGGGGACAGGCTCTTGGCCGGTATAAAACGAATAGGCACTCTAAGAAATGTGTGGGAAAGAGAAGTTCCATGTTTGGTCTGAGGCACACTGACATCAGGCCAGCTAGGAACATTTTCTGCAGCCTTTCCAGGGCTTCCAGCAACCTGGCAGTGGAACAGCCCCATGGTTTCACACAGTCAGCACACCCCAGTTGTGTAGTTCTGATGGTCACTGTTGTCAGTAGACACCCTTGGTGACCTCCTCTTGACCCTTCCTGCTTCTACTGTTCCCAGCTTTTTGGCTGCTCACCTACTCCACATCCCATCCCCACTGCCCCGCTCCCCATGACATTGTCAGACATCTCTCTGAGGAATAGCAAGGCATGAGACCCTTTGAATGTGACCCATGGTAACATACTGTGCCACAGCATGGGACAAACAGGCCTGAGACTCCTAAGAAAGAGAGTTGGCAGTGTGAATTGCAGTCATGAGTGCCCTTGACAGGCCCCAGTAGGCCTTGATGGCTGTTTCACTGGGCAAGAAGCCAGAAGTGAATGGGGACAAGTGGACCCTGGTCGTCATACAGGTCTTTCCCTTCAAATGCTGCCATGTGAAACGAATCCCCTGAAGGTCATGGAGAGCCCCCTTGCCTTGGCCTCCCAGGCTGACTGGAGCTCCCAGGGCAGGAGTGTGTGCTCCCTGGGAGTCCTCTGCCAGCATCCTTCGTTGACTGAAGAACCAGGTGCTTCTGTGGATCATAAACAGCACTGATTGTCCCTCCTACAGCGGAAGGACACTTACCTGGAATAGGCCCAGCTCCTTCCTCTGTGGGCAGACATCTTGGGGATGGGGGCTTTATGGCATTTCCTGTTTATTTTTCATGGTCAGGTTCTTACTCAGCATGGCAAGTTTATAGAGGAGGGTCCTGTGTGCTTCTGAGTCCCCTCCGCCTTCCTGCCTGGAGGAGAGGCAACTGGACCTTGGCTGAGACCTGGCCCTGGGGCAAGGGCAGTTTGAAAAGAAAAAAGAAAACAGGCTCCTCCATGTTCTGTTCTCCCCAGCTATCTTGGGCATTGCTTCCTGAATAGCTGAATCTTAATGGTTGGCATAACTTAAAAAAGCCCACAGCTGGCTAACCCCAACATCTGCAGCCTGCAACCCAGGGTCAGTTGAGTTTCCAGTAGCCTTGGCCCCAGCTTTCCCCTGCACCACCTAGCAGACCAGCCCACAGCTAGACCAGCGCCCCCTTCTGTTTTTGAGCTGCCTCTGCAGCATCAGCATCCCTGCTCTGACAACTGTAACTACAGGAAGTGGGAAGTTTGGGGAGGTAGAAAGCAGGAAGGTTTGAGGTGGTTACTGTGCAGGCTGGAAGGGAAAGTTCTCACTAAGGTCTGGAGGCTCCTGTCATGGCAACAGGCTCCTCCGCACCTCAGGCCTGTGGCAGCCCATGCCCCTCCTGCCTGGAGCTCCTGGTGATGTACACTCTCAGATGTCCACCCCAATGTCACTTGTGCTTCACAGTGCTTGCTCGAGTCAGGATTGGTGTATACTTGTTTCTTGTCACTGCCCTCCAGTAGACAGACCTACACTCCATGGAGGAAGGAGGGCGTGACCCTGGAAGAGAGAGGGAGGGAGAGAGGGAAGGTGAATGAATGAATGAGTGGGTGTGTGAACAATGGCCTGAGCTCAAAAATGTCTGCGCCTTCTGTGCTCTTGTGGGTTACACTACACTTTCTTCCTCTCCTGCCATCCTCTCCCTGTGTGTAGCAAGGGCTAGCAGCCTATCCCACTCAGGGTCTCTTGTAGGATGTTATGGTGGATGTTTCATAGTTGGCTTCTCTGGGGCAGCCTGCACTTGGGTACCTTTGCATATTTGATTGGAGGCACTGATGGTTTTGATGATGGTTCGAGACCCTCGATGAAACCCGTCTGTCATATTCTAAGTCACAGGCTCCTTCCAGAGAGCAAAACGCACCCTTGAATACATAGATAGCCAGTGTCACTTGGGGGTTAGCTGACTGCAGAGTGACAGGAGACACATGACAAGTTATTGACCCAGTGCCTGAAAGGGGTGGAGGACTTGACTTTGTAGCCTGGGGTTTGGTGTATGTATATGATGGGGGAAGGGGTCCTGAAGGTGAGAAAATGCAGAATATGTTCTCTGTTTAAGGGGTTGGGATCCTGGCGTATCTTCTGTTATACTATGTGGGCCTTGGGAAGGAGAATTTTCTGAGTGTGTTTGAAAACTCAGGTGGAAACACACGTTCCTTTATATTCTGTGAATTACATAAACACTGAGTGAGGGGAGCAATTTGGCTGCATATGTACCTTCTAGATCTGAGGTACTGTCCTCTCATGAGCACAAGTTTGACGTGGCCTGGGGAGGAAAGGGTCATAGATAGGACCGACCCCAAGGAACTATCTGTTTAGGGACTGTGATGGGTTTTACCCAGTTATACACTTTTTAATTTAAGATCAAAAAAAGAAAAAAAAAAAAAGGTTTGTGTGTGTGCTCGAATGTGTGCATGCATGCCTGTTCACACACACTCTCTGATACCCTGGGAGGCCAAAGGAGGGCCTCCAATCATTGGAGATGGAGTGACAGGTGTTTGTGAGCTACCTGATGTAGGTGCTGGGATCTGAACTCTGGTCTTCATGACAGAGCAGCGATGCTCTCAGCTACTGAGGCATCTCTTCAGTCCTGGACAGTATACCTTTGGTGCAAGACACTGTTTCCCATTTTCAGGACACCACCCTGAATTGGCCCTGTGGTCTCTGTTCTTGTGGGGAGGGAGAAGCCATTGGCTAGAAATGAAAGACGAAAAGAGATTTTAGAAACAACCCATGGTGGCCTCACTAAAACCCTGGGAGGACTGTGAAATCCCAACCCCCAGGGGGCCCAGGGTCACTTGTCTCTTCTGATCCTGGAGCCACCACCAAGAACAAAGCCTCCAGTGGGACTTACAGAGAGAGGGCTAAAGTGGGCCCTTTAGAGGATTTGTGTGAGAAGGAAGGGAGTGAGTTTATAGGGTGCAAGCCAGGAAGGCAGTTGTCTTCAGGAGGAGAGCAGATTGAGGTGCTCCAAGACACCAAGGTGGGCAGCTAGCAAGAAAACAAGAGTCTAGGCTGGAAGGGCAGCAAGGGGCTTCCGAATGGATCAGGAGAAAACCCACCTTATCCCACAGATCAGGAGACTGCAGAGATGGAGCTGCTGGCTGTGTGGTTAACTGGGTGAAGAGGGTAACCCCATCAGCCATGTCCCTTGTGTTGCATAGGCGAGCTTTTCTATCCAGACCAGGGCCTCTTGGGAACAAACACAACAGCAAAATCCCAAATACTAGCTTACTGTATTTTCCTAAGAGCTTGCAAAAACAGGTTAGCAGACACACAGCCTGTGGCCAACTGTTACTGTAAATAACATCTTACAGTGACACAGCCATGTCCCTTCACCTCCTGGTTGTCTACCGTTGCCATGATGGTTAATTTTAAAGTCAGCTTACCACAACCTAAAAGTGCCTATAAAGAAAATTTCAACTAAAGAATTGTTTAGATCAGGTTGGCCTGTGGTCCTGTCTGGAGGGGAACATCTTGATTGATAATTGATGTAGGAAAACCCAGTCCACTGTGGGTGGTGCCATTCTCTAGGCTTGGGACCCCAAATTGTGTAAAACAGTAGGAAGCAATAAACAGACAGGATGGGCACAATTGTTTCTCTCTGCTCTTGACTGTCAGTGTGATGTGACAGGCCAGTTGAGTTCCTCCCTTGATTTACCAACACAGTGATGGACTATAACCTGGAATTGTAAGCCAGATAAACCCTGTCCTCCCATGTTGCTTGTGGTCAGGTGTTTATCACAGCAACAGAAATAAAACCAGAAGAGCTGCCTTTAGGCAATGTCTTTCTGCTCCCTGTGAAGTTGGGACAGAGACCGTGTGACTTACAAGCCACAATTTAAATCTGTCCCTTCACTCATATTAGCAAAATTCTATCTGAAATCTGTATTGTGTTTTAATTCCTTTGGCGTTTTCCAGTACGCCTGTGTATATCTGAGTAAGCTACATGAGGGTTGGGAATCCCTTGAGCTGGAATCCTGAGGTGCACTTCCCATTGCTAGAACTAACGTGTTTCCAAAGTTCACCCTTTTGGAGACACTTTCGTCCCTGACATTATCACTAGCTTTTCAGTCATCAGCTACTCCCAGAAATGGAGACTCAGCTGCCCTGGACCTGGCCATGTGCTCTCCTGGTCAGCAGTAACCCCTCAGAGACCAGAGAATGGCCAGAATTTCCCAGGACCTTTGTATTCTATGCCTGGAGCCCCTGGGGAGAGAGCCGGTTTGCTGACTCCTGCCAAGAGTGACTTGAATCCAAAGCAGGAGATTTTGACGCACTCTGTTACCTGGAACATGAGGCCACCTCCAGAGCCGGGCAGCCAAGTGTACAGACACACGGGTTTGTTGGGTATGATTGAGTGACTTGCTGCTAAGCCCTGTGTTCATTTGCATTTTCTTCCAGGACAACACAGAGCTGAGGGGACCCTTCCTGCCCCAGTTTATCCCTACGCTCACAGCACATCAAACACAACTTAAGCCTGATACCTGACCACCAGTGTGTCTCACCCCCTCACACACACACACACACACACACACACACACACACACACACACACACACACACGACTATATACATGATCATGCCTTTTCCTTCTGGAACATAAACAATTTAGTTTTCTTAAAAATAATGTATTTCCAGGTATCAAAATCCAAATTATAATCAGCCACTGTGTGAATTACCCAAGTAGTTGAAATGGGGTAAAACCCTTCCACTCTGACACCATACTTGGTTCAACTCCTGGTGCCATGTGCCCAGCAACATGGAAAGAGCCTCCAGAAACTGGGGCCTGCCTTGCCTCTGTCATCCCTAGCCGAGGGGCTCTGCACTCAGCTTCTTAGTGTCTGCCAGAGTGTCTTGTTGTCTGTGCAACAGATGTGCTTGAACAACTTGAACCAGACTTTCTGGTGCCTGGGAGCACCACTTGCTTTCCCGTGGCTGGCAGTGTCAGCCCAGCCCTGCTTCATTAGTTGGGGGCTCTTGTAAGGACATTAGCCATGATGGCCTGCCCTCTATGGTCTTATTTGTCATGTTATATCTGAAAAGGCCTCTTTCCCAAGCTAGGTCACTTTCTGGGGTCCTGGACTGTGGGAAGCTGTCTTTGCAGGGCTATAGTCAGAGCCAGATGGGCAGCCCACAGTTCGTACCTGAGAGGGGGAGTCTGAACTAAAGAAAGGCTAGCTAAAGACGTTAAGAGAAAGATAGAGACATAGGCTAGAGTCAGAATGGCAATTCAGTGAATACTGAACGCTCCAGGTTTATTTTTCACCTTAAATACCTTAACCAAAAGGGAGAACAAGGTATCATGCATAGGGAGCAAACAGACTTTTCTTCCTTATTTCTCCAAGGATTCAGTAATACCACACCTTAGATTCAGCTTCTCGTTACCTGGCCTGAGGGTCAGGAGTAACCACACACTGTTGTTGTTTAAATAAGACAGCCTAGGCCAAGATCAAACATCCCACTGTAGCCACACCTTTGACCTTTAGGTCGTATGGCTTACTGAGGACAGTTTTGAACTCTCTGCCCTTGAGACAAGATGGAATAGAGCCATCTTTATGGGCACCAACACTGGACGTGAGTTTTGGGGACAATGCCATACACACTGTGAGCCATCTCTCCTCTATTGTATGGATGGTACTAGGGTGCTAGCTAGGCCTTGAACTCTTGGGGTAAAGGGCATCATCTGCAGGTTGACCTTCCCCCAAAGCCAAGCTTACCCTGGCCTCACACTGTACTTCTTCCCAGGCTTTGCTGAAAATGGACTGTCAGGGCCTGGTGGTCAGACTCATCCAGGACTTTGTGCTCCTGACCACAGCCGTTGAGGTGGCACCGCGCTGGAGGGAACTGGCCGAGAAGCTGGCTAAGGTCTCCAGGCAACAGATGGATGCCTATGAGTCTCCCCACCGGGACAGGAACGGGGTGGTGGACAGTGAGGTGAGTGGGGCTCCGACCCTTTGGTTACTTAATTACCAGTCTCTAGGACTCGTGGGGTGCGCTCTAGGATCATAAGATGAGGTGAAGTGAGTGTGTCCTGGGTAGGGGGGAGCCATCGACCTGTCCTGAGAACCTGGTGTAGAAGACATCAGGGCTGCTCTGCCACAAGCCAGGAAGGATGGCTGCCCTCCTTGCTAAGTGAAGTGTGTGTGTGTGTGTGGGGGGGGGGGTTGGTCCCACTGTACTGGGTAAATGTCTGCTATGTTACCTAACTCAGGCAAAGGTGGGTATGGTGGAGTCGTGCCCAAAGACTGGCTGCTTATTTGTGGAGGGTGACCCTGGTGAGTTCCTGGAAGCTGATTCAGACTCACAAGACAGGGAAGCAGGAAGTCCCAACCCTAAGGGTGTTCTTTCTTTGCACGATCAATTTCTAATACACGGCACAGGTGAAAGGGGGTACTGTAAGGAAGGAGAGACTCTCTCCAGTGACTCAGATATACAGGGACACCACCATTTCCCCACTGTAAGCTGACCGGCACGGCTGTGTCCACCTGCTGCTGTGGCCGTAACACACAGTGAGTGTCATAGGAGTGACTAACTGAATGTAGCCCACTATCTTCTGACCTTGCCTTCTCTCCTTTTTTACATTTTTGGTAATTCCATCACGCAGGCCATGTGGAAACCTGCCTATGACTTCTTACTCACCTGGAGCCACCAGATTGGGGACAGCTACCGAGATGTCATCCAGGAGCTGCACATAGGCCTGGACAAGATGAAGAACCCCATCACCAGGCGCTGGAAGCACCTCACGGGGACTCTGATCCTGGTGAATTCGCTGGACATCTTGAGGGCAGCAGCCTTCAGCCCCGCAGATCATGATGACTTTGTGATCTGAGTGGGGGCCCTGCCCTGCTGCTCACTAGAGCTGGAACCCTCTGACCATCATCTGTCCACAATGGGGGCCTTGCCAGCCACACCCAGGAGGGACTGAGGACCTTTGACTCTCTGCCCCTCCCCTCTGTCCAGGGGCAGGTCCCAGGGGCTTTCTACTTCCCATTGTTGCCAATCGTGTTGCTTTCTATTTGTTGAAATGTATGTTTAAATTTAAAAATCCCTTTTTTAACAAAAGACTAGAGAGGACATAAGAAAGGTGGTATCTAATTTTTTAATGGACTGTAAAAGTTATTTAAAAAAAAATCACCTTAGTAAAGGCGATCGCTGTTGAGGTTTTTATGTTCTTCAAAGGCCTTTGTAAATTATGTTCCAGGTGTATATAGATATTTAAAGGCCATGGGTGTTTCTGAGTCCCAGGCGTACTTTGAATTTCAACACTCAGAGTGGAAAGGAGTTTGCTCCATGCAGACATTTTCCACTCATCACCTGTGAGAAGGTGAGTCCATGGGCCTGGTGGCTTTCAGTAGATGGGCCCTGAGGATGCTCACAGCCCTACCCTTCCTTTCTTCTCCAACCCTGCTGTCCTCGGTGGCCATCCACAGGACATGCTGGTCTGTGTGCTTTGGTGAACAGCAAAGCCCCCATGTGGCAGTTCAGTGCCATTGAGATTCTGCTAACAAATAAGAAATCAGCTGGAATTGGGGTCCCTGTCGGCCCTGTGTATATGCAGTTTTCCTTCAGAGGAACAATGCCCCCTTGAGAACAAGGTGGTCCCTGCCACTGGGCATTGAATGCTGTCTCCCTCATGGTGGCTCTGCCTCTGTTCTAGGTGGGAGGAAAGTCCCAGCACCCAGCCAGAGTCTGGTGGCCCATCACGGTCACCTTTCAGGCGATGTCACATGCTGGCGTGCAGAGGTGCCATCTGCCATTGCCAAACTCCACACTTCGTCTCCCACACTTAATCTCTCCTTCCTGGTGCAATCGTATCTCCTTAGGAATAATACATGCAAGTTAGCACAGGGGACGTTTTCCCTAAGCGATGTTCTGTGGCAAGTTGGAGGCATGCAGAGGATTATAGTCAACTTCAGAGTGACGGGTCACACAGTAGCTGTGGCATTTGGGGAGGAAACAGGAAACATACCAGAAAGCTCAGCATTAAGTGACCTGGCAATGGACAGGACTCCGGCTGTCTGTCTCCAGGGACAGGTCCAGACCCTGGGGACTGCCCTCCAACTGCTCTCCGGGCACAGTTAATGACTTCATTTGACCAGTGTGCAACCCCAAGTTGAGTTGAAATGTTCTGTAGCTTCTGATTCAGACACTTCATACCAACAGGCTTAAAAGTAAACAGTAGGTATTAATGCTGCAAGAACCAAACCACAAGAATCCCCCATTGCCACAGACATGTGCGCCATTCTGCAGCTTTGTTTACCCAGAGAACATCTCTTTACCTTTTTCCCCAAAGAAGAAAGAAAACCAGTTGCACCTTAAACCACCGATACTTTTCCTCAGGGGCTTTGAATAGTTTCCTATGCAATTTAATTTGTAGCACACAAATTAAATTCTACAAAAGTTGCAGTAAATTTATTTGGATATTTTAACTGGTTTGTGTGTGTGTGTGTGTGTGTGTGTGTGTGTCTTTCTGTGCCTATCCAGACTTTAACTAAAACCCAGCATAGAGATCAGTGAATAGGTTCCTGTCAGTCATTCTGAGTGACAGTGTGGCACCTGGTTTTCTCTTGTTGTTAATTTAATTGCTCCTGAGTGAGTAGATCATTCATTACAACCAGTGTCACCCATAGCACCCAAGCGAAGCAGGCAGGTGCCTATATCTCTCCTATCTGGAACTAGTATCCACCATCCCTTAGCACCGAGTTCAGGACCCAGCAGTTTTTTGTGCTAGGCATCTTCCTGGGCCTATTGGTGGCAGCCAGCAGTGGAGGCCTCCTCTGGGTGTCCCCTTCCTATTGTCAGGAAGCAAGAAGTTTCAGCTCTGGGACCAACCCCAGCTGAAGGTGATGAGGGGGAGCAGGGCTCATGGCTAGCCCCCTTGAGAGAGGGTAATCAATAGACAGGCTGAATAGGAGCCAGCTGGACCAAAGGCCGGCCAGACCTGGGAACAGCGTCTATAGCATTGACACATGGGCAGCACAGACAAGATGGGAGGCCGGGTCTGCACAGCCTGGGCTTGTCGAATGGGCCAGAGCCCCCTGTGAGCTCAGCCCCCTCCACCTTCTAGACCTATGTTAATTCTGACTACACTATGCTGGATCTTAAGTGTCCCCCACAGGCCCTGGAATTAAAGGCTTGGTCCCCAACAGGGCACTGTTGAGGGTGGAAATGGGGCATTCTAAGAGGTAGGGCCTGATGGGAGGAGGCTAGGTTCCTGGGGAATAGACTCTTCCTCTTGTTTTTGTACCTGGCTATGCCTTCCGCTACTGTATATGTGGGCTTAAACAGGCTCCATAGCAGCAGGGCCAGTCAGTCCTGGACATCAACGCCTAATTTGTGAGCTCAGACAAACCTGTTCCTATTTTAGTGTGGTTTGCTGACTACTCACTTACTTTGTAGTTGAAGACATAGTCCCATATGGCCCCATAACTTACCTGTTACACGTGGCCAATAGGAAAATGGATTTTTCCTCCCAGTGCTAAGCATGGAAATTACCAGGGCCAGGCAAGCGCTGTGCCACATAACCTCCCACTCCCCCCAGCCCAGAGGCAAGGATTTACCCCAGAGCAGCCCTAACAAACAGCTGAACTTGAAAAGTGCATCTTCTCACTGTTGTGGAGACCAGAAGTCTAAAATGAGGGTATGGAATGACCTAATTAGTTCATTTGCTCATTATGAGGACACTGATCTCTGGATTTAGGTCCCATCATAATCTCATGTAACAGTTTCACCTGTACTAACTCTAATTCAAATAACTCACAGGTCGCAGGACTCCAACTCAGTTTAGCTTTTGGACACCACACAAGCCAGCATGCCATCTCCCTCCTTCCAAGCTGCTTTGAGAAAAGTGGTGTTTTAGTTCAGCTGTTGACATGCAGTTTGGGAATCAGTGCCCTTTGGGACCAAACACTAAGCAGAGAAGAGGTAAAAACTAGGCACCAGGCATGATGGCACAGGCCTTTAATTACAGCACTTGGGAGGTAGAGACAGGTGGAGCTTGAGTTCAAGGCCAGTCTGGTCTACATGTTAAGAACCTGTTTCAAAAAACTAACAACAAAAAAAGCAGTGGGGGGGGTGGTTTACTGGAGAGATGGCTGGGTGCTAAAAAGTGCATCTGTTCTTACACAAGAGCACCCAAATTAGGCAGCTCACAACAGCCTGAAACTACAGCTGTAGGGGAGCTAACACTTCTCATTCTCTCTCATTCTCTCTCTCTCTCATTCTCTCTCTCTCTCTCTCTCTCTCTCTCTCTCTCTCTCTCTCTCTCTCTCTCTCTCACACACCCACACACACACACACACACACACACATACACCACACGCACATGCACATGCACAATTACAAATAAAATAATAAAGCTTTTATTTATTATTTATTCCAAGGGGGGTGAGTTTTACCCATGGTAAATCTTCCCCATGGTAAATTTTTTTTTTTTTTTTTTTTTTTTTTTTTGGTGGCAGGCAGAGTGTGGAAGTGTTTCAAGACAGGATTTCTCTGTGTAGCAACTCTGGCTGTCCTAGAACTCACTCTGTAGACTAGGCTGGCCTCGAACTCAGAGGTCTACCTGCCTCTGCCTCCTGAGTGCTGGGAATGCTGGGATTAAATGAGTGTGCCACCATGGACTCCTGGTAAATTCTTACTTTGACCTCCACCTGACTGCCACTCTGTCACCTCCAGTGGGATGTACACTGAGTAATTTCTTTTGTAATTCTTTTCTCAACACCCGAACTAAAATTTGGTCAAAGAACCTCCCTGGCCAGTTCTCACCAGGTCTCACCAGCCAAGCAGTGTGGCTAGAAGTAAGATCTTTGCTCTCACCACTGTCCCCATTTCCCCTCTCCTCCAGATGCTTGAAATCCTGCTTCCTGTACAATTCCTACTCCCTCTGTTCTCCCCAGATGGAACAGGAGTCTTCCTTGTTTGGGGGGAGTTACTGGATATCAAACCTAGACCCTTACCCAAGCTAGGCAAGCACTCTACCACTGACCTATCATCTCAGCTCTCTGTCCTTTCACTTTTTAAGATAGAGTCAGACTAACCTGCCCAGGTCATCCTCCAATTCCCTGTGGAGCCAAGGCATTGCACTTCCTGCATTCCCCTGCCTCAGCCTCCCAAGCAGCTGGAATTCCAGGAGTCTTGACTACCCAGTCTTCACCTTCCCTTCCACCTGGCCAGATTGCACACTCAACTCTTGATGGAAGCAGACCTGTCTGTTTCTAAACCCCAAGATGTTTCCTGCATGGTGGAGTCATTCCAATCTAAAATAGAAATGCATTTTAAACTGTGAGATGGATGTGGCTATTGGAGTGGGTTATAGGGGCTTCATGGTAAGTTTACCACCAACATAAAAGCAAGTGGAAACTTGAATCATGAATGCATCAAAGTTGTCTCAAATCCAAAGAGGTCAAAGAACCTTGCAAAGTACATCACAAGACCAAGAACAGTTGCACAAAGGAAACATTTCAGTTGGTACCCGATGGTGTCACAAAATTTGATGTTTTGTAAACCGAGCTTGAAAGGAACTCAATTAGCTCTTTGTGCCATGGAACCCCTGACGATTTGATGAAGCCAAGAGACACCTCGGAATTATATAAATGCATAAAATAAAGCCCGGGAGAACAAAGAAAGGTATTCTTCACACATAAGTACCAAAGATTATGATTGAAGAGTTTAAGCATTCGTCTTTATCCATTAAATAGCACCACCTAGCGAGAGCATGCATCTGCACCAGACACTAACCACAGAGATGGAAGTCTCAGCACCAGACCCAACCGCGAGCGCACAATGGGCGGTCTTATCCAAGCAGACACTCAACACTCTGATGAAGGCCTCACTAACCAGACATTCAAAACAGTAATGGAAGGTCTCATCCACATTGGAGAACACACTGATGGAGGCTTTGTCCTATCAGACACGAAGTAATGGAGGTCTCGTCTCACCCGACTCTCAATGCACTGATGAGCATTTAGGCATCTACAAAAATATCCACAGACATAAAAGTCTGAGGATTCTCTGGAATGTCTAAAACAATAGTCCCTTGCCTATATATAAACTCTTGATGGAAATGCAGAAGATAATGAAAATAAAAATGTAATTTTCCCCCCTCATGAAAAAAACCACCACTCATTCTAAAGAAGCCAGTCTCCCACACATTAGCTATCCAGCTATTCACATTATTTTAAAATTTCTTATGTTAGTATTTTTTTGCTCCAGGCTAGGAAGGGTGGTGTCTTTAATTTTTTGATTCTCTAATTTAATATTCTGCCTAATGGGAGAGAAGGTACCTAAAGAAATTAATTGGTGTATGAGGTGACATTTTAAGTATCTAAAGTCATTTTTCTTAATTTTCCATTTTAATTGGTTTGTCTTAAAAACATCTGTACATCCTTATGTGTGTGTGTACATACATACATGTGTGTTTGTGAGCAGTGTTGAGTGTGTTTTTCATCTCAGAAGGCAACCACAGACTTCTGAGAGGGCATCATATATGGCCCTGTGTGCTGAGGGCAGATGGAGCCCGTGCGTGTTGAACAGTGCCTGTCACCAACACTGGGATTCAAGGGCATCCCAGCAGGGGACAGCCAATTCTTTTGGGGAAGGTCTTTCACAGGAGCGAAGTTCAAGGGGGTTGGCATGCTGTCAGAGAAAGAGAAGAGGCCCCGCTCCCATGGAGGTGCATCCTGGTGCGTCTGCTGAGTGGGAGCTATGGGAGAGCCCAGGGAGGAGACATAAGGCTCAGGGGTGGGGGCTCTAAAAGGGAGAGGTGCTTTGGTGACATCCACTGAGTAACTTTTGCCATTTGCTAGGTACTGCTCTAGACCCAAGGGGTAAACTATCCCACAAGGAGCCCTCAAGCTGGCAGGGAGCCAGCAATATACCAGATTAATATCCAGGGTCGAGTCAGAAAGAAGCCAATGCTGAAGATAGAGACCCCAACCCAGGGCAAGAATAGAGGGGGTAGCCTTGGAGCTGTGTGAGGGACAGTGATTACAGTTGGCTCTAGATACCCCCCACCCACACACACAGGCACACATGACAAATTAGATAAATGTAATTTTAAAAATTAAAAAGAAATAGAATACCATGTAGTTTTGATAAATGTCTACACTGCATAATGGTTGAATGCACTTAAGTGCCTACCTCAAACATTTGTCTTTTGAGACAAGCTCTCATGTACCCCCAGGCTGGCCTCAAACTCACTATGTAGTCAAGCAATACCTGGGCTCACCTGAGCTTCTTGCCTCTACCATCCAGGTGTTAGGATTTGCACCATCACACCCAGCTTTCACGAAAACCATGTTATGGAGAAAATTCTCCAAGTCCTTCCAGGTTTTTGGTGTTGTGGGTGTTTGTGTGTTGGTGTGAGTGTGTGGGTGTGTGGTGGTGGGGGTGGTGGTGGTGGTGGTGGTGGTGGTGGTGGTGGTGGTGGTGGTTTGAAAGAAAATGGCCCCCAAAGGAGTGGCACTATTAAGAGAGATGGCCTTTTTGGAGGAAGCATGTCACTATGGGGGCAGGCTTTGAGGTCTCTTTGGCTCAAGTTTCTCTCAGTGTGACAGTCAGTTGACTTCTGTTGCCTGCAAAGATGTAGCACTCTCAGCTCCAGCACCATGTCTGCCTTCACGCTTCATGCTTCCTGTCATGATGATAATGGACTGAACCTCTGAAACTAAGTGAGTCACCCCAATTAAACGTTTTCTTTAAAAGTTGCCATGGCCATGGTGTCTCTTCACTGCAACAGCAACCCTCACCAGTGTGTTGTGGCTCAAAGTGTGGACATCAGAACACAACTTGCTGGATGTGGGCTTTCTTTCTGCCATGTGGGTCCAGGGAATCTAACTTAGGACATCAGTTTTGACAGCAAATGCCTTTACCCACTGAGGCAACTCATTGGCCTCTCCTTAGGCCTTTAGATTTGTTTGTGTTATGACAGGTCTCACTAAATTACCAAGGCTGGCCTTGTGTTTGTGATCCTCCTAGCTGGTTTCTTGAGCAACTAGGATTACTCTGCAGAAGAGACCTGGATCTGAGCATCAGTCATCAGATCCTGCACCTACTGAGAGGTAACTACACAAAAGTCACCTGACAAAAACTCCAAAGAGACCCCATCTCAAACAAGTGAAAGGCAGAGCCACCTGAGGGAGTCCTTTACCTTCCACCCTGGAGCAGTCACATGTCGGAACTCACACACAAACACATACATGAATGCACATTAAACATATGCAGAAAAACAAATTTGGGCAAAGTGAAAGCTGGGTGTGATATGCTATGGCTTTAATACATTGCTCACATTTTCAAACGCTAAGCCAAGTGCTGCAATCCATGCATGCCCATGATTTTGTTGTTCAGAAAGCTGAGGCAGGAGAACTATGAACCTGAGGCTGGTGTGGGCTACATAATAAAAAACCCCATAACAAAAAATAATTTTTTAATTTTTAATTCAGGTATGAGACTGAAGATATGGCTTTATGGTTGAGAGTGCATATTGCTTTTGCAAGGGACTCAAGTTCAGTTCCCAGCATCCATATCAGACAGGTCACAAACACCTGCAGTTCAGTTCCAGAGGATCTGGTTTCCTCTTCTGCACTCTATGGTCACTTCTCTCTCTCTTCTGCCCTCCCCCCTCTCTCTCACACACACCCTGATTAAAAATAATAAATTAAAAAAATTAGTTGTGAACTACAATGGCCAATGGAATAGCATGAATCTCACCTTTAAGGAGTGATTGGATCATGGGAGCCCCTCACATAGAATTCAACTCACTCATTTCCCTCTCTCTCATCCCGTGAGGACACACCGTTGATCTCCTCTGCGGGCCACAATGCTGGAAGACCAGACCTTCACCTTAACCTCCAACTTTCAGTCTCCAGAATTGTGAGGAAGTCTTTGATATTTTGTCAAATCTGTTCCCCAAAGAATGAGCCAGATGAACACCTGGGAGGGGTGAATGGCCTCCCACCTCAGACGCAGATGCTCAGCTCTGCTCACAGGGAGACACAGCCATGGGGCTATGAGAGGAGAACCTGGTTTGGGCAGAGCAGCTCATAAATAGGAGAGCCTCGGAGGATGTGGGAATCGGAGGAGAATCCACCCCATCATCGCTCCACTAGACAGGCTGCTGTGGGGCCTCTGAAAGAATAGCAAGCTCCCAGGACCGGGAAACCCAGCATCAATACAGCGTTTCCTGGAAAGCTGGGGCAGTAAGGCCAGAGGCAGCGGCTGGGGAGGAACTCTGACTAAGACATTAATATGAGGTGTGTCATATATCTGGAACTTCGTCTCCACTTTGAAAGACTGAAGACGAAGCTGAGAGACTTTAGACCTGAAAGAAAGCCTGAGTAGGAAGTAGAATGCAGGACTCTCTTCTCACTTCTATCACAGTGGCTTTCAGGCTTCAAAATCAACTGCTGTTCTTTCTGTTCCTTCTCAGTTACCACGTCTTCCCTGTGGCTGTCACCCTAGCGTTGTCCCCTCAGCTCATTCTCTAACAGAATGGTCCTGAAAATTAGCCTGTGTTCCTCTGCTTAGCCTGCCTCTTTTTGCTCCCTTGTCTCCAGCAGAGGAGCTGAGGGTACAGAGCGCCACCATGCAGGTTACTGAGAGCACAGTGTGACTTCCTCCTGCGCAGGAAGATGATAGTTCTGACATCACACCGTAATTTTCACTGAAACACATTTTGACAAATTGGTCTTAATTCCAAGATTGTTTTTGGTGATGACATGCCTTTTACCTGGGGACTGACATTGGTGGACAGTGCCAGTTGACATCAGGAGGGATGTGGAGCACAGCTGGTTCTTCATGGCCGCCTTTTACCTGGGGACTGACATTGGTGGACAGTGCCAGTTGACATCAGGGATGTGGAGCACAGCTGGTTCTTCATGGCTCCCTGAGCTATGCATGGGCTCTCCATGGTCTGGATCATGCCTGCTGTGTGCCTTGCATCTTGAAAACACTCTTGTTACATCTGGAACCCTCAAAACAGATTCTCAGCTTCCCTTGCAGCTAAATAATACTCCTGACCAGCTTCCACTGTGTGGAGCTCTGATTTAGAAGCAAGCAATTGTAGGAGCAGGTAAGTGAATTGGCAGAAGTGTCTGGCTTCCCGACTGGGATAAGGTGTCACACAAGACTGTGGCAATTTGCAGTTTTCCCCAGTGCTTGGCTGGGTTGCTGCAGAAGTACCTTCCTCACAAGGACAGTTATACACATTTCCTGGCTATTTAACATTGGATGGGGGGATGTCCTTTCAGGAGCTCCAATGTGAGTCAGCCCTTGCACTTGGGCGACCTGTGGATTGTTGGCTTCTGGTTCAACCCTGGTGGTCAGTCTCCTCTGAGGGCATCTTCCCTGGTGCCCTTTCCAGGTTAAAGTCCCTTCCTTTGTTTTCCACAGCCTTCTGCCTCTGTTTCACAGAGACTTGGTGTGACCCACACTGTAAGTAGGACAGCCAGAACATCTAAACACACACGGTCAGCTCTTGGATGATTTTCAGCCATGGCAGGCAACTGCTCTGAAGAAAGTGAGGCTAGGTATTCATGGCCAGAGACTTTTGGGTGCACCTGGTGTTGCTTTTTGTTTTGTTAAACAGGTGTAAGTTTTGTGTGGTGGGGGGATAACTAGAAAGTTTCTAGAAACTTCTGTGTCTGCTGGTCTTAGTTCCCTGGTCTTTCCACTGTAATATTGCATATGCTTGGTGCAGCTGAAGTTTGCACATTGGGATAGCAAGTGCTTGCTTTAGTTTTCACACACCCACGTATTTTCTGCACTCCTAGTGCAAAAACAGCTCACACCCAGGGTGTGAACAGCAGACGTGGTTACAGTGGGGAGCCCCCCAAGACTTAGGTCAGCTCTGAGTGGCCAAACCCTCTCTGAGTGTAGCCCCCTCACATCCAAACAATCAGGAGATGAGGTGGGGTGGGGTGGGGATACAGCATGGTTGCCTGCCTTCTTGTCTATGAGAAAAAAAGAGCAGGGGAATTTAGTCTCTTTCCTGTTTGATTCCTAGCCTAGTTGGAAGAAAACAGATTTAGGATGAATTTGTGGTGAAGTCCACACTGAGAAGTCAGCATAGCAACTTGTGACATTGACGTCTAACCCATGAATCCCTGTGCACAGAATCAAGTGTTTTGTGAAGTTAGGTTCTTTGTACAGTGAATTCCTTAGCATGTAAGCATGCATTAAAAACATTACGATTTTTAAGATTGGACCACCCTTCTCTGAGGCATTTCCACAGCACCCATATATAACCCTAATTATCACATCCTCCATGTGACAGATGAGTTGAGAAATCGAGAGCAGAAGAGGTGATGAATGTGTGCCAGAGACTCCGGAGTACTTGACCTAGTTAAAAATAATTCACACAGACCTGGGGATTTGTGTACCATTCTCAGGACGTGGGAGACACTATCGTTTTTCAAATACTAGATTTGTACGAAATACATAGAGATGGTCTGATGGCTAGCGTCGCTATGGTACATGCAAGCTATATGCTATCAAAACATGAGTAAATGTGTTTTGCCTCTAGCATCTTTTGCAGAACTGAGCCAGGCTTTTTGTTACTTCTTTCCTTGTTAGTTGTTTTAGATAGGGTTCCTATTGCTGTGATGAAACACCATGACCAAGGGCAAATTGGGGAGGAAAGTGTTTATTCTGTTTACACATCCAGGTAACAGTTCACCACTGAGGGAAACCAGGGCAGAAACAATGGAGATTAAAGACCACATATGTGCAGGCAGCTGCTCTTTGGGTTCATTGTTTTTCAAGAAAATGAAGAGAATGAGTAGTTTACGGAGGACCTGAGCTTGAGAGAGGGGGGGTCTTCAGCACAGGTGTCCCCTTAGCACTTAGAGGATCCTGTTGATGACTATTTCACATTTTTAAAAAGGTCTCCAATTCCAAAGTCAAAAAAGGAACTCAAGCAGTGGAGGAACCCAAAGGCGTGAGCTGATGCACAGGCCATGGTTGGGGGGGGGGGTTGCAGTATACTAGATTGCTCCTCGCAGCTTGTTCAGCCTGATTTTTAAGACACTGCCCACAGTGGGCTGGACCCTGCCACAGCAATCATCAATCAAGTGAATTCCCACCAGCCCATCTGGAATAAGCATTTTATCACTTCAGTTTCCTTCTTCCAAAAACCACTCTAGCTTGTGTTAGTTAGGCTGACATAAAACTAGCCGGTACATTAATCATAGCTGTTTTTCTCTGGTGCCAAATGAGGCATGATGGTGACCATGACCATGAAGCCTTAGGGACAGTGGAGACCAGAGGCCATGTGTGTGCAGGCAGTTGTTCTTCGGGTTTCATTGTGTTTCAAGAAAATCTAGAGAACGCATAGATTACTGAGAACTTGAGGGTTTCCGGCGGAGATGTCCCCTTAGCATTTAGAGGAGCCTGTTAATGGAGAATGAATATTTCAGATACAAAAGGTCTCGGTTTTGTCACACGTGTAGTGTATACCAGAATTCTGCTTGAAATATTACTGGCGGACTTTGAGGAGGTCAGTAGTTCTGCACCCCCCCCCTCCCAGTAGTGAGCTTTGCCTTGCACTCATATGGTACTTCAAACAGGCAGCCTTTTCCTGTAGTTATTGATGGAATTGTTTTCAAGATGTCATCAGCATATACTACCTCTCTTTGCATTATTTAAATGCTTACAAAAGGCCAGACATGGCAACACTAGTGTTTAATAGGGGGGGGGGGGGGCTTTCTGGAGAATCTGTCAGTTCAAGGCTAGTATGGTAGGAGTTCTAGGACAGCCAGGGCTACATCCAGAGACCCTGTCTCAAAAGCCAACAAACCACTTACAATATCTGGTCTTATTTTGCAAGACATTCAGATGACAAGAAATCTCTGGTTAAACATAAAATGTAATTATGGTATTTTCTCGAAGCTGTGGAAGGAGTCAGATTGGGGCACCAGCCTGGTAACCTGGAGAAGACAAAGGGACTTCAATAAAGACCATTATCTTTCTTTTTTAATGGAGCAATGTAGATCATGGATCCCCACTAGACCCACTAGGAGGTGCATAAGAAAAAGCAATGACGATGGATTTGGGGATGGATTTGGGGATGGATTTGGGGATGGAGTGCAGGTGGAAGGATCTGCACTTAGCAAGCTTTGGGTCACATTCTTAGGAACATGGAGGTGTGAGGACAGGTTTGGCTTTAGCTCAGTACTAAGGTGCTAGGTGGGAATGCAGGCTAGAGAGCGCATTTCTAGGTGGGAGTGGGGAATGAGCTCTGTGGTGATTCCTGTTTCAACCACAGCCATTGCAGATCGCATCCCAGTCCCGAGTCCCACTTATAGCCACTGCCCTCTGAGCTTTAATTAAACCCAGGACATTGTTTTCTCTGATTAAAAACTGCATAACTGTGACTCAGGGCTGTCCCCCGCTCAAGGGAGAAATGGCCCCAATTCTTGGCAACAGGGCCTTTATCACCTTCGTTGGTGACTCCCAGTAACACAGTGAGCTCTCAGCCAGGCCAGGGGAGGAGAGAGGCCACCTCCGGGTGTGAACACAGGACTGACAGGCTATTTTCGGCAACAGTGGCCTCTCAGTAGACTCCCAGTGTGAGCAGCTGTTCAGGTCTAGATTTTCGATGTGGACCAGTCTGCAGCTGGGACTTTGTGGAAGGAATTCCCACAGCGGGGCAGGCTCAGCAGGCCTTCGGTTTCAGGAAGAAACTCGTCTATGCATCGCTACAGAATGCATCAAGACAAGCTGGCCCCCTACTATGGGCAACACACTTGCTTCACAAGGACGTCCCCTGACAGGACAGCAATGCCCTGTAAAGAGCAAGGAGATGAACAATTCACTCCAGACATGGTTTTAGGACCAGCATCTGTTTTATTACGTGTGAACAACCACTTACATGGTGGGTGCCTATCGACTGTGATTGCTTAGCACATCTCCTTGGATGGGGCAGTGAGTGCTCACACCATCAGGGTCTCTGTGGAGGAAGCACATTAGAGGTTATGTGGAGAGTAGAACAATGTGGCATGAAGGGGGGACTGTGTTGGTTCCCACGGCAAGTGAGAGATTCAGACAGAGACCTCCAGACGTGACTTATGTGGAAAGTTTATTGGGAAAGGCAAGGGACTAAGGGAAGGGAAAAGAGAGAGTTAGACAGAGACAGAGAGACAGAAAGCTGCCTCCTCAGAGAAAAGAGAAAGGAAGTGGGCAGAATCTCTCTCTCTCTCTCTCTCTCTCTCTCTCTCTCTCTCTCTCTCTCTCTGTTTTGGCTTTTCAAGACAGTTTCCCCGTAGCTTTGGAGGCTGTCCTGGCACTCACTTTGTAGACCAGGCTGGCCTCGAACTCACAGAGATCTGCCTGCCTCTGCCTACAAAGTGCTGGGATTAAAGGGGAGCACCACCACTGCCCAGCTGAAGAGACCTCCACACCTGCATACAGAGCTTGCCGTGTGCAGAGGCACTGTGCCAGGTTCCCAATGGGCAGGGCCAGGTCTACCCAGATTATTACAGAGAGTACAGACTGCTCAACCAGTCAGCTACCAGCTACTCACGCTGCTTCCGAGTTCAATGTTCGGACTTCAGGAACATGGTGTGCCACGCTTCTTATTTAGATGTGTAGTGTGCCAAGTAGGTTGGCTGCCAGGTCATGCCTGCATTTTCTCCTACATCTTCCCCCATCCCGCTCTGAGTTTTATTCACAGTCACCCAGACAATAAAAAACCTCATCATGGCATTTCCGTGACGTTAGCTTATAGAATCCCAGCAATGTCCTATGTGGTAGGTACAACTATTGTCCATGTTTCATAATTAAGAAGGGAAACAGAGAGGCTAAGCAATTTTCCCAAGCTTGCACAGCTAGAAAATAAGGCACTGAAGTTCAAATGTGGATAGCCTGTCTCCCAAGCTTCTCAGTGTCTTAGTCACTGTTCTATAGCTGTGAAGAGACACCATGACCACGGCAACTCTTTATTTATTTTTTAATTTTTTCTATCTTTTATTTAAATTAGAAACAATCGTTTTTACATGTCAATTCCAATTCCCGCTCCCTCTCCTCCTCCCCTACCCCCTACTATCCCCCATCCCGTCCCCTTTCTGCTCCCCAGAGAGTGTGAGGCCTTCCATGGGGGATCTCCAAAGTCTGTCATATC